AGAGCAGAAGTTACAATTAGAGAGATGGGTTTGCAGGACGCCATGAACACAAGGATTGGAGGTTGGGGAGCTAAAGGCCTTAGTGGTGGCCAAAAGAGGAGAGTAAGCATTTGTATTGAGCTTCTCACAAGCCCTAAGCTTCTCTTCCTTGACGAACCGACAAGCGGCCTTGACAGTGCAGCTTCTTATTATGTCATGAGCAGAATTGCAAATCTTGATAAAAGTGATGGAACTCCAAGGACTATTGTTACATCCATCCATCAGCCTAGCTCTGAAGTCTTTCAACTTTTTGACAGTCTTTGTCTTCTGTCTTCTGGAAGAACTGTCTATTTTGGTCCTGCTTCTGCAGCAAATCATGTAAGGCTAGCTCCATGTATATGAGATGGCTTATTCAGAAAATCAGAGTTATTTAAATATATTGTTAACTATGTACTGATGTTCTTAATTGGTTGCAGTTTTTCACTTTAACTGGTTTCCCATGCCCAACTCTCCAAAATCCATCGGATCACTTCCTTAGGACCATAAACAAAGATTTTGAGCAGGTAAGAAAATCTCTTTGGAAACAAGAAATCACATAACATGCTGATAAACCTTTAGAAATCTAATAGAACTTTGTAACACGTCGCAGGACATTGAGCAAGGCGCAACCACACCAACAGAAGTAGCAATTGATACTCTAATAAGGTCCTATAAAGAATCTGAAACCTTTCAGCAAGTTCAAACACAAGTAGCTGAACTGTGTAAACAGGTAAACTAGTAATCAGATTCATAGAAGTAATTATGTATGCACCTTTTTGAATAAAATTTCAAATTGCAGTAGTGGACCCAGGATTAATGGGGGCAACATCGACTAACATTAATTCACATGAAATTTAGGACTCTGGTGAAAAATTGGAGAAGAGAAGCCGTGCTGGCTTTCTTACACAATCTCTCGTACTCACAAGAAGATCCTTCGTGAACATGCATAGAGATCGAGGCTATTACTGGTTGCGCCTGGCTATCTACATCTCCATGACCCTAGGCCTCGGTACTATCTATCATGAGCTTGGACATGGTTATAGATCTATTCAGGTAAGTGAGAGAGAGATCTATATGTACTATGTATACAAGGAAATTGTCCCCTTAGTAGGCAGTTAATTAGTACATAACATTCGTATGTTGCAGGCAAGAGTCTTGCTGCTCACGTACATATCTAGTTTTCTAACTTTCATGGCCATTGGTGGATTCCCTTCCTTTGTGGAAGATATGAAGGTAAATTAATTTAGAATACTTCATTAGCGATCGATGTTAAAATTAGTGTTCCTAAACTCTACTTTTTGTTGTAAATGCAGGTATTTGAACGAGAAAGACTAAACGGGCACTATGGTGTCTGTGCATTTGCTTTTGGCAATACATTTTCTTCTGTGCCTTTCTTGATAATGATTTCAGTGATTCCCGGGGCAATAACTTATTACCTTGCTGGACTTCATACCGGATTGGAACACTTTGTCTACTTTTCTTGTGTGATACTTGCTTGCATGATGTTGGTTGAGAGTCTTATGATGATAGTTGCTAGTATTGTGCCCAATTACCTCATGGGAATAATAGCTGGTGCTGGAATTCAAGGTCTTTTGATGTTATGTGGTGGATTCTTCCAATTACCAAGTGATCTTCCCAAGCCTGTGTGGAAGTATCCAATGTACTACATTGCCTTCCACAAGTATGCATACCAGGGATTGTTCAAAAATGAATTCCAAGGAACAATGTTTCCAGCAAGTGAAGCCGGAGGACCATTCATCAGCGGCGAACAAATTTTGAGAGACAGATGGCAAGTGGAAATGAGATATTCTAAGTGGGTGGATGTTGCTGTGTTGTTCGGGATGATAGTTCTATATCGAGTTATGTTCTTGGTTATCCTCAAGACTACGGAGAAAGTTAAGACTAGTACTACGGCCCTTCTGTCAATGCCTACCAAGCGAAACATGCAAGTATTGGTTAATCCCTCATCCACGCCCGTGCATGGAGAGAACCACTAGGACAATATCAATATTATGTATTGTTTTTACGACAGACAAATTCCAAGGGAAGACGCAATACAAATAAAGCTGTGCGAGCCCGTGCATGGAGAGAACCACTAGGACAATATCAATATTATGTATTGTTTTTACGACAGACAAATTCCAAGGGAAGACGCAATACAAATAAAGCTGTGCGAGTAGATACACACACACACGTACTTCGAACAATATCACGTGTGTAATAATATTATAATTACCATATTAGGCAAAACTTACCACAATTAGGGGTGGGCACTTAGAACCGAAAACCGAAACCGAAACACGAACCAAATCGAACCGCACCGAATGGTTTGGTTTTGCGGTTTTGGAACGGTTTTGGTTTTGAAACCGAACCGCAACATAGAAAACGGTTTGGTTTCGGTTTTGGCTTTTGAAAACCGCATCGAAACCGAACCGCACCGCAAATATTAATAAACATTTAATTAAATGTCCATATTAAATTTCATGTTTTAATTGGTTGTTTGTTAGAATCCATGCACTTAGTATGGACACAACCACACTGGAATATCATCATTCATCACTTTCTTTCGTTCATTAACTTCAAGGACATTTGTTATTTTATACCATCACACACACACACACACACATATATGTACAAGGGTGGACTAATCTTGTTATCAAGAGTCGAACAATGATCTAATGAAGTCCACTCATTTGAAGCATGATATCACATATTCTAGTATGAAAGTTTCACTCATGTTTAATGAATTCAAAGTTATTCAACTTGTTTTATGTTATACTTTGTACGGGACACCTTTTTGTTGCACAAACATATTTTAACATCACAACTGCATGCAACATGCTAATTGTTTATATAACAAATGTCTTTTTCCTATTGCTACTGGGAAATGCTTATTAATATGTTTAATTTCAAATTGTACATTTTTTCTTAAAAACCAAACCGAAACCGTTTGAAACCGCACCGAACCGAACCAAACGATTTGGTTTCATTTCGGTTTTGGCTTCAAAACCGCACCGAACCAAACCGCAAACAATTTTGGTTTCGGTTTTGGTTTCACTCAAAACCGCACCAAACCAAACCGTGCCCACCCCTAACCACAATGCTTCTCCTTATGTAATAAAAAGTATTTTTCAAGTTTTAAGACTGATTTGAAATCATTTGGAGAGTTATATTTGTTGTGTTTTACCTTTAATTGGATTTAAAAAGAAATTAAGAACCCACTAGCGATTCGTTTAGTGATGTAATTTCAAATCTCCAACTCCTAAAGTAAATATTTCATGAGTTGTATAAAAGAAAAAAAATGATCGGACAAATTTATAACAGAAAATTAGGGTACGACTCTTTAGGCTATCTCCAACCGAAATGACTAAACATAGTCTCGTCCAGAATTATAGCCCTGCAAAAAAATTATCTTAAATGAACTATGTCAAGTCATACTCATATACCATCTCCAATCCAAGAGGCTAAACATATCCTATAATAATTTGTTAGTTCTAAGTTTATACTTTAAATTTATTGGTTAATTTAATTAAACTACCTTTGGATGTTTTCGAATCTAATTGTTGGATTTGAATCAATTATTATAACTGAGGAGCTGATCCACATGAAACAAGAGAGGGGGCGACATTTAGTTAGCTTAATGCCCCTTTGGCCAAATAATTTTCTAGTAAGCTCCATAGAATTATACCCTAATCATCAGTTGGAGATGAGTTTTTGGACAAATCAAGCTATTTTTTGACTTTTGGACATTTAGCCTCTCCATTAGATACGACCTTAAACTGAGCTACATTACAAAATTATCTTTGGTATTGTTTTATATAACGATAGATTTACACTAAGGATGAAAAAATATATTGATATCAAACTTATCATTTTTGAGATTTGATCCTAGAAATTCTTACTTACAAGGAAAAATATAATTAGACTATAAGGGGGCGTTTGTTTGCCCTCACTAAACTTCGTTGGAAAAGACTGGCTTAACTGGAATTGCTAAGCCGTGTTTGGTGTGAAGAAGGACTAGCGTTAATGAGACTAAGTCGGATTCGCCCTGACTAAGTCCTTCGCTAGGTAGTCTTAGCAAGTCCCCTCGAAATGTATGAGATTGTTAGTCTCGTCTCCAAATCTACTTCATTTTTACACTGCATTGTCTATACGTTACTTTGTCTCCGTTTACCCACCCCCAAATAAGCTTCACCCACTGCCAAAATCTCAAAATCGAAACACCAAAATTCAAAAAAAAAAAATGCAAAACAATAACAACAATGGGAGAAGCTAATTAGCAAGCATTCTTCACGCATTCTTCCTTTTTCCTAGAAAATTCTGAGATGGCTATCTCGTTCTGGAATTGCAGATGGAGAAGCCGACGCATGTATCAGAGGGAGCAGAGAGATTCGAAAATTTTTGGGAGAAAAAATGTGAGAAAGGTGGAGATGCCTAACGGCGGGAAGAAGGTGAAGGGGATGAGCTTGTCTTGAAAGATCTACCATGACCTTGTTTTGAAACACTGCGTTTTACAAGAAATACAAGGAGGAAAAGAGAGAATGGATGGAGTCAGAGAGAATGGATGGGTGAAGGTTCCAGAGAGAGGTAGAGTGGGAAAAAAGAACGAAAAGGGTTAAATTAATATTATTAGATAAAATAATAAAATATTATTAGCTAAGTGTTAAATAATATAATATTATAGTTTGTTTATATTCAGCTTTTTAGTTCGACACTGCACCAAATGCTTCACTAAGTTACTCCAGTTTAATCTAGTATAAGCCAATTCAACTTAGTCTTAAAACTAGTCTAATCCAAAATAATCCTGTGAAACAAACGCAACTATGTGACCATAACTTCGATGTGAACAAAGTACAAAAATAAGGTGGGAAGTTTTAAATAAAATAATGTGGATAACTTGGTACATTTCTGTGCACATAGAAGCGGGCCAAGCCCAAATGAAAAAGAGATACAGGCCGGTTATTTTGGCGGACAAAAATCCCTAGTGGTGGTTTGACTGGAAGTTTTCCTTCGGCATTCTGCAACTTACTTTGGCAAAATCTAAGTATCCAGCGACCAATTGATCATTGATGATGTTGGGGTTACGCGGTTCAATCGCAATCGTTTCTGATGCGAGTCGTCGACTCCTTCAATCTGTATCGGTAAGTTCGAATACCTTAAAAAACTTCATTTTATCAGACTAATCGTTTCTTTTGTTGAATTCAAACAAACTGTGTTTAGGGTTTAGGGTTTATGACTGTGGATCATGTTCGTACTAAAGATGGTGCTTTAGAAATTTTCTGGGGTTTTCATGAATTGTTGGTTGCCTCGTCTGGTTTTTATTTTTTGGGTCTGAAATTGCCCCTCATTTGGTTGCTGTAAAATTATGTAACTGAAGAAAAAATAACTCATGCCTCATGGGGTTGGTTTTTTTTTTTCCTAAGATTTGTCATGCATTGGAGAATGTTTGCTGACTAAGTGATTTTCTTTCAATGCGTGGTGTGAGGAGCCGATCAATTGGCTCAATACAGTTAGTGGATCGGTTACTCACATCTCCCAGCTATCCTGCAAAATTTGTCCGGTAACTGAGATTTTACATGGTGGGCGAGCCTTGGCGCAACAGAAAGGTTGCTCCTTTGTGACCAAAAATCACAGATTCGAGTCACGAAAGCAGCCTCTTTGTTCCCCGGGCCGAACCTCGCAAAGCAGGGACTTGACTAAAATGATTGACTAGTGAATTATGAAATGGCAAATACAATTATATCTGCAGTTTTGAATTAGTTTGTTTTTCATTGTAAATTGTAACTACACTCAAAGATCCAAAAATTGGGAACAAATATTCTGACCACCCCCATTTGAAAGGTTACAGATTCATATGTTGGTTTAATGGTCATATTTGAGCTTCCTGTGTCATTTGCAGTTTCATGGGGTCCGTGTGCAATGCCTGAATATAAGAGCAGGAATGGAGATTCCAGACAATAAGCCCCTTAAGTATGCGCTTCAGTACATACGTGGGATTGGCAGAGCGAGGGCCGGCTTGATCATATCTGAGCTAAACATGACCAACAAACGTGCCAAGGACCTGACCCGAAGAGAAGTTGTTGCTATTGGCGATGAAATCTCCAAGTACTTAGTTGGAAGGGAATTGGTATACGTAGCTCTCTCTGTTTCTCTCCCTCCTCTCCCTCTGTTTTAGTGCTACTTGCTTCAGTAACAGGTTTGGGTTTTTCGGGTTTTTTCAGGCAACTATTGTCGAGAGAGACATCAAGAGAATGAAGGACATTCAGTGCTACAAAGGGATCAGGCACATCGATAAGTTGCCTTGCCGAGGGCAGCGCACCAGCACCAATGCCAGGACTAGGAAAGCTAATCCACGGATTGCGGTTGCATCATCAAATAAGGTGAAGAATAAGTAGTCAGTATAAAAGCAGTCATCGGTTTGGATGCAAAAGGCAGCTTCTTTTCACAACTTTTGAGTTTTGAAGCCATGGTTGTTAGGTGTCTTAATAATTATCCACAAAGTTTCACTCCCCCCATCTCTCTTAACCTTTCCAACTTTTATGTTAAACCAACTCTTGGATATTATAATCTCAAGAATTTTCTGAGAAGTTTCTTTTGGTTTCTATTCGATCTAAAGGTAACCATCAGTTTCCGAGCTTCGCAGTAAATCAAAGTGAACACCAAAGCTTGCGCTTTCAAATATCGAGTGAACTTTTCTTAGATTTAATTGACGAGGGGTGTGCCACCAAGTGAAATCAAATTCAAGAAGTCTTGTTATTACAAATTTCTCGTGTCGTCCCTACAACTTTGTGATTGAGAAGTTTCCTTTCAGTTGTATGAAAGAATCAGCATTTCATGCCTACTTCTGTAGACAATACTTTTACATTTCCGTACACACAAATGCTGCTAAGCGACTGCTCTGCTACCTAATCCAGTTTTCGTAGGGAACTAGATTTTCCGAAGTTTGGTCTTATACCTTTGAATTTCATTCTGGCAGTTCAAGAACTTATAGGGGCACAAACAGCTTCCAGACACTTTTTCGAGATTGCTTGGACGAGGGTACATTCCGAAGTTGGTGTTTGATATTGTCACTGAACATTTCTGCTTACCTAGGCACTCCTGTAAAGATAAAACATCAGAAAAATCTCGATTAGGTTGAACCTGGAAACCTCTGTGAGTTAATTGGGGAAAAGTTTAACCCTTTACTGCAGTAAATTAGGAGCAATCTGAGAAGTACCTTCGGCAGGACTGCATTTGAGTTTGGAGCATGACTGTTACCATGCTGAAATTTCCCACAGCTTCCGGTTGGAGTTCCAAAGCTTGAAAATTTAGTTGCAGAAATGTTCAGCTGTACATGTAGGCTAATTTCAGGCCTCTGCTGTGCTTCCGTTTGGCCTTGGCTCTCAGTGATTCAACTCCACCCCTACAGGAAGCCACAGAAAGCCAACGCTTTCAGTTCTTTTCTTTTTTTGTAATCGGATTGGTCAAATCCAGGCATGTTTGGTTAACAGAAATGGAAAAGGAAAAGAATTGTAAAACTAAAATAATAAGAGAAGTAACAAAAGAGAATCAGATCAACTAGTTTCTCTTGTCGATCTGATTCTTGAATTTAGGCGGATGTATTCAATTGTGATTTTGAGGAATTTTAATTCTTTTAACGAATCTAGGGGTATTTAATCAGAATTTTAAGTGATTATCTGAAATTCAAAATGTATTCAATTAGACTAAGCCGGCATTCACTTAACGGCTCCGATTCAGACTAAGCCGTCTAATACTTTATACAAAGTTGACTGGTACAAAGTTGACTGTCAAAGAGGCTTTGGCCGGTACCACACCAGTACCTCATGTTGTTCACGATTGTTTGCTCCTTCCTCCTTGTGTACATGATCGTTTTCGCATGCTCTTATCATCCACGGTGGGGCAAAATTTTGGTTCCAACAGCTTTCAAGGGGAACATCTACCGCCCCAGCCTCGGCCGCACCAAGTAGTCAGACGTTTCCACGAGAAACCTTTTTATCTCAACTTAATCAGAACCGTTCATATTTGATCCAACGGTGTCGAAACGCTGCGCATATATTGTGTTGCGCACTTGAGATTTGGCCAGAACAGGATAACTTGACCCCATCGTCTTCATCCACACACAAAGCTCATCACTCCCACAACTCAGACACAGTCATGGCGCAAACACTGGCAATGCCTCTGGCACCCTCCCTCTATGTAATCTGCAATGGAAGAAACTCTAATCCCCTCTCCAACGGCCTCTCCTTCCCAATCAGACCCCCCAATCAGGTAAATTTCACGTTTTAAATTCTGGGTCGACCTCAGAATTTCGTGGGTCGACCTCAAAATTCATGGGTCTCGTCGATTTTGTGCAGGTTGGTGGCTTGAGCATCAAATGCGTGCGTGTTGGCGGAGTTGAAATCCCCAACAACAAAAGGGTCGAGTACTCTCTTCAGTACGTTCATGGAATTGGGCGTACTAGGGCACGAACAATCCTAATCGACCTCAACATGGAGAACAAAATCACCAAAGATTTGTCGGAAGAAGAGCTCACCATTATCCGAGATGAAGTCTCCAAGTACATGATTGAAGGGGATTTGGTAAACCCTCAAACTTTATTTGTTGCAACTACAATACTTTTGCTCACTGGCATAACATTGATTGTCGTTAGATGAGTTTAAATTTCAACATTTATGTAGCAAATACATTAGATCACCTTCATTTAACCGCAATCAATTGCGGTGGGTGGAGCAAAATGCACCCTTAATTTGTTATGGTTTCCTTTTTCATATAATGGGATGTCATTGTGGCGGTATCTCAAGTCAATCATGCACGTCCTGGATTATAACTTTTGCACATGGGATTGCCTGATTGGTTTGGGATATGGCCACAGTTTCCATTGGATGAAAGTTCTATTGGGATTTTTTGGATGTTGCAGAGGAGGTTCAATGCCTTGAATATAAGGAGACTCAAGGAGATTCAGTGCTACAGAGGCATACGCCACAGCCAGGGATTGCCTTGCAGAGGACAGCGCACCAAGAACAACACTAGGACCCTGAAGGGTAAGAGGGTCACTGTTGCTGGAAAGAAAAAGGCCCGTTAAGTAATTGAATGGGTTTTCGACTCTTTTTGTAATTGGTAATGAATTCCTTTGTCTGGTTTTGTGTTTTAGTATTAACTACAATTGTTCTGATCGCTTTTGCTTCGTTGAGCTGTGCCCTCACCTTTGGAAATGTAGTTGGGATCATCAATGTATAAGGTCGTACCCAGTGCACAAGGCTCCCGCTTTACACAGGGTCTGGGAGAGGTGAATGTCGGTGTACCTGTTTGATCACAGTTTTATTCATAGGATTGTCAAATGTTGAGAAGGAAATGTTGTCTAATCACTTGGTCACACTGCAGTAGATTCTTGACTACTTGGAATGCTATGAAATTTAATCAGAAGTGATGAACTTGCTGAAATTGTTTACAAAATCTACAAGGCCTAGTTTCTCAAATCATCAAAATCCTTGTCGTTCGGTTTGATCATCTTATTCATTTGTCTTTTCACTAGCATGCTTCACTGTTTCTTCCTGCTTGTGCCGGAATTTGTACTCCATGCTTTGTCATGTATGATGGGTTTGAAGTGTTCAGCACGTATTTAATCGCTCACAGTTCTGCAATTTTGTGAATCACCACTTGCATTTCTATATGCATTCATGAATTACCACTCCGTTACAAACTTGTTCAGAAGATGTCTACTGTTTCACATTTCCTCCGGTAATTAGAATGCTTTTCATACGATATATTACTTGAACGTATGAATTTTAATTGTAGTTGGATAAGTATGGAACTTGAAATGTTTGGTTAATACTTTGCATCTCTGTCCACCCAAAACTCAACCTCTGGTTCTTTTGTTATTCCTGTAGCTGTTGCTCTATAATATAAATGTTGAATAATTGAAATTAGCCAGTTACGCGAGTATTTTCGGAGGAAGAAGTTGCTGAGCTTGGTATGGTTTACGCATGAAACATAGGTACAAATATACTGAAACTTCTCTTATGCATTGAAAAAGTTGCTGAGCATGGTACCGTTGTTTATGTTCATTGCATTTTGTCTTCCAAGTACTGTCAAATGGGCACCATGATATTGTATTATGTTCACGTGATGAAAATCACATAGCTAATCTCTTTATTAATTATGTTACAACGTTGTTGTTATGGACACAAGAGTCCGTAGCATTCATTTTCACTTGTAAGTGAAATGTATTAGGTCGTCAAAGACGAGTTTGAATAACATTATTGTTAGTCCGCAGTAAGTAAGTTTACCTCCTCTTAGCTAAATAATATCGTTTGAAAAAGAAAAATATAAAATAAATAAATAAATCTACCTGTGGATGGTCAAATTGACATGGACTACAGTGAATACGACAAAAGAAAGGAACCATAGTAAGACCTAGTTTGGGAGTGAGGTGCTTAAAAAAAAAACACTCATGAAAAAAAGCTGTGAGGGTTTTAAGTGTTTGGTAAACTGAAAAAAAAATGGCTTATTTTGGAAGCTGCTGTGAGAATAAGCTGAAATCAAAGGAAAAAACTGCAGCTTTGGAAAACTGGCTTTTTTTCAAAGCACATAGAGCTACAGTGCTTCTTTAATGAAAAGACCCACTATTAGACTTTTTTTTTCCAAAAGCACTTTTACAAAAAAGTTTACCAAACACTCTGCTGATTTATTTCACAGCCGTTTATTCTCACAGCAGTTTTTTTTCAAAGCACAGCAATACCAAACCAGCCCTAAATGTGGTGCCTTATCACTTAAGCATAAAAACAAAATAACCGTGTCGTTGAAAAGTAACCAGTTACACGAGATCTTTTCTTTTTTCTCTCTCAATACACGAGTTCAAATGAAGTGTGAGAAAATTTTGCCCTTCGTCCGGCTATTAAGAAACCGAATTACGTGAGTGACGACTCGTACTTATAATGTTTAACATAAAAATATATATTATTGACTACGAAGATAATATAAAAATATATATTATTGACTTGATACGCCACCATGTTGATCCACGGCTTTGTCCACTAGTTGCTAACTCATCATTAAGCTTTTGTTTATCCGATAAAACACAAACTTTTGCTTGTAAAGCGGAAAACGAGCACCATCCTTTCATCTTTAACTTTTAAAGACAACATTTTCTCTCTCTATAATTGCTCTATTTAACCATAACCACTTTATTTCCACTTGATCTACACGTCACGCAAGACGACAAACTTGAAGTGTGTACAAAACCCCCCAACCCTATCCACTCCCCGTCCTCATCGGACACCATCCCATCATCACATTATGTATTTATATATAATATTATAATAATATCTACACAATCGCGTGCGGCGCAGATGATTGCCACGTCGGTCACACAAGCGGCTTGCATGCAGAGGTCTGCGGGTCCCACATGGCTGGCAGTAGAAACCTACGCCCGTTCACCCCGACCGCGTTGTAGCTCGCCCCGGTCGCCTTGTCCACCAGGACTTGACCCGGATAACCCGGGTATGCCCCGGTTCCGAAAATGCCCGTGCAGGCAGAGACCGCCTCGAGCGGCGCGGTGGCCGGCCCTTGGAAGTATCCATTGTTGTACGGATTGGTTACTGTTCCCGCCAAGAGAGTGGCGAGGTTTATGATCATGCCGTCAACTCCGACGTCGCCGTTTGGGGCCACTAACGGCGGGGTTTGCGGGCCGTAAATGGGCTGGTGAAAGGGCCAGGCGCATTGGCCGGGGCACTGGACCACCGAGTTCCCAACCCACACGTAAGCCGACTTCTTGTCCCGGGCGGAGCCGTGGGTACCGCAGCGGCTACAGAAGCCGTCGACCGCCACGTCACTGGCAGTCAAAACCACGTTGATGGCCTTCAACGCGTTGACTTTGCCGGCGAGGGCTACCAGGTGCCGGTTGCCGAGGGACTTTCCGAGAGAGTAGGCCTCGTGGAGGATTTGCCTGCCGACGACGAGATTGGAGGCGCCGCCCTTGTACTTCTCGGTGGTTTTCCACCAGGAGGAGGCAGAGGGGAGTGGGCCCCGCCGGGGGGCGAGGGAGTGGATGAAGTCGACGATGATGGAGCGTTGGATTGGGGTGAAGTGGCCGTACCAGATGAGATTGACGGTGATGTTGCCTTTGAGAAGAGCGCCGTTGTGGTACTTGAGCACCAGGGGCTGCTCCTCCACTAAAGCACCCAAACCGGGCTCGGCCAGAAACAAGAGTAGCAAGAGAGAAGTGGCAAAGTGGTAAATAGGATACATTGCTAGGGGCAAGAGTTTAAGGCTTTTGTTGGGAATTGGGTGTGGGGAGAGTGAATGAATACAATGAATTTGGTTTGGGGTGGTATTTATATTCGGACGATAAGGGAGACAGCTGTGGATAGCAAAGGTGTCACTGTGTTAGGCGTCCACGTGGGAGTTGGTGATTAGACATTGAGGGCACTCGAGACCGGAGAATTTGCCAGGCTGTAAGGTTTCTCGGATGCGGGGTGGTGAGACTAGAGAGGGTTGTTCCAGGAACTTGATGCTCACTTTTAAGCGTATAGACTCGTTACCCCGCATGGCTCTCACCCTCATAATTTTGTGTGATTATTTTATTTGACACATAAAAATAAAAATAAAAATAAAAATAAATTGTGAAGAATTAAAATGATTGTGTCAAAATTACTCCCATTGTATATGTGAGTTCGTTTTTAATGGTTACCAGAATTGGAATCGACCTTCAATAATATTTGCAAATTCCCAGTTGTGTTTGTGCCGTTAGGGTTTAGGCCTTGTCTTTTAGTTTTCACAAACTATAGTATTCCATAATTCTATCCAAAGATAACCGTTTCTAAACCTCAAACCATAAATTCCGTTGTGTCACATATGATGAAAATCGTATCTTTTCTTGCCTTGACGACATATAAAAAATGATAGGAAAATCATATTTTTGTACTTGGTGTAACATCTAGTATGTCAAGTTGTGCGTATAATATTGATTGTATGGATCGACTGTTCCATTATATATAGTACACTAATATGATTGAATTACATAATATCCCTAACTTTACTCCCAACATATGCTGCACACCATCAGCGCATCACTAATCAGTGTCCAAGTCCTCCATGGCTTCTTGTCCTCTCTCAAGCCCTGATGCCTACCTTCGACGAAGAAATGAGCATCTTCCGCGCTCCCTCTAGCTCCCACATGCAGAAGACCCTCTACTGGTTCGACTTCGTCGTATTGGGCATCGGCGGCATGGTGGATGATGTTGCCTTTCGTGGACTATTTTTTTCCAACGGCTCATTTTTTTTCTTACGCGGTATAATTTTGTGTTTTAAATCAACTTGTAAATATTATGAACGAGTGAACTATTGTCATATCAATTTAGATAAATAATTGAGAAATGTGATGATGTTACTAAGTTTATTCTCAGTTTTCAATTTAAAAGTTTAACGATAGATATTAATCATATTATCACATTCTTAAGTTTTCTTTCAGTGCTCTTTTGCTTCGTTTTGTGTATTAATTTATACTTGTTGTTGAGGCGTACAAGGATTCGTGACACATTCATTTGCACTCCCCACTCTAATCTCCACCGGTTCTTTTCTCCCATTTGGTAGCCCCACCTAGTAGGGTTTCATATCAAAGCTATGACGTGCACCGAAGGCTGCCTTGAGAGAGTCAGAGTAGGTCCGGCCTAGAAGGAGTGGAAAAATCGTGGTTTGCCATGTCACATTTCAGTCTCGATTTCACCGTAACACGATATTGTTCGTTTTGGGTCTAGGCCATGCCCTCACGAATTTGTTCTTGGGAACTCAGATGAGAGCTTTTCAGTAAGTCACCCATCCTAGGAATACTCTCGCCTGAACTCGCTTAACTTCGGAGTTCTGATGGAACCCGAAACCAATGAGTTCTCAAAAGGCCTAGTGCTATAGAAGGTAGGCATGTACATATAAGGTACATTATCCCCTCTCCATTTGTCGATGTGGGATGTTACAATTCACCTTCCCTTAGGGGCCCGATGTCCCTGTCGGCACACTTGCACTAAACGGCAGAGTGGCTCTAATACCATTTTGTCACATCCCAGTTTCGACTCTGCTGTAGCACGATATTGTCTGTTTTGAGCCCAGGCCACGCCCTCATGGTTTTGTTTTTGGGAACTCAGACGAGAACTTTACAGTGGATCACCCATCATCGGAATGCTCTCGCCCGAACTCGCTTAACTTCAGAGTTCCGATGGAACTCGAAGCCAGTGAGTTCCCAAAATGTCTCGTGCTATAGGAGGTGGGCATGTACATATAAGGCACATCACCCCCTCTCCGTTGGTCGATATAGGATATTACATGCCACCGGTTGTCCTTTTTTAAAAAAAAAAAAAAGTCAAAGGAGGTCCACTATGGAGGAGTTGATAAAGAGTACTGCTACACTTGACATTTAGTTGTACTATTTCTCTAATAAAAATGGGACCTGGATTGTCTGCCCTCCTATTTCGATGCCCTCCCCGTGCCCTTCTATTTTGTGTGGTCACGGTTAAGCCACGTCAACATTTTATATTGTTTTTTTATAAAAATAATAAAACAAAAAGAAATAATAATATAAAATGTTGACGTGGCTTAATCGTGACCACACAAACAGGAGGGCACGAGGAGGGCATCGAAATGGGAGGGCAGACAATCCAAGTCCATAAAAATGAGGCCGTCCAATGCATGCGAGTCTCATTTCTATTACAAAAATAATACAAATAGATGGTAAAAATAAAATATTTTTTGTTGATAAACAATGACATCATCTAGCTACAAGAAGAGTAGAAGCTTTGCCCAGGTTCAAACTTCCAGACCAGAATTTATTCGCTGCTTTTGGGGGGATTATTCCAAAAATATTATGCTCCCGCATGCATGATTGTTGCCGGTTGAATATTATATAATTAAATATGAAGCTCGTCGCTTCTTGTAGAACATAAAATAATTTACGTGGAACCAGTTCACGATAATTTAATATTCGAAATTATTTTTCCTGTGAGCTACTGCGGCTAACAGGATTTTCTCCAGATTTGTTTAGTGAAGATTCTAAAGATCTGTGAATCAAGTTCGTTTATCGTAAATTATGCGATCAACTTTTTAAAGTGATGTTTGTGTTTAATTTAAAATAAATTAATTTCTAATCATTAAATATATAATAAACAGATAAAATTAACGAATCTTTAGAATCATCGTAAAGATATACCGGCGATAATCCGGATTCCGGTATCCACAAACATTTTGTTGGGCGCTTGTTGGTTACGTCAGCGTGGTGTTTTTTATTTGGTAGCATAATTGGGAAGTGCGCTGAAGCTGAGCACCTAGTACTAACAACCAAGGTAAGGTAGGATTGGTTTTGGTTTTGGTTCCCTAGGGGTGGTCCGCAGTATAGTGGCCTAGTAGTAGGGTTTTCCAAAGTTTAAACACTGCTTTTTTAAAGTAATAGAGATCATCCCGAATATTGACACGAAAATTATGTTAAAAACAAAAATTAAGCAGAGAAAAGACGTTAATGTTTAAAATATTCACAAATTGTCTTCAAACATTCAAAAAGTCAAGGATTATGGAAAAGAAGGTAAAGTACAAACTTCACCTATCGGGCAGGATATAAAAAATTATTGAATTTCAATAATATTTATCGATTTACTGCATAAATTTTGCTTGAACCAACCACAAGTTTCCAATTTTTGAATTCTTTTTGAAATTTTTTTCGATAATCTTGACTAAATGAGTAGATATACCAACTTGATTGTAAGTTTCTATAATCTTTAAAAATCGAAACAATATCAATTTATTCATTTATATTTTTATAAATTTATATGTTGATATTTCTATTTATATCGATGTTTTAACCACTAAATATATCATCCAAACAATATATTCGTTACTCCAAACTGGAGATGCTGATCATTACATGGTTTTCAGCACGGGTCCTATCAAACATTTATGGTCTCCAAAACCAAAAGTAAAAAAGTAACAATAATTTTCACCTAATTAATGGCGAAGTCAGAGTTGGGAAATATCGGTTTAATAAAATTTTTATTTTAAAGGTGTGCAAGAGATATTTGTTAAGGACATTTTTAGGAGGAACTAGCATCTGTAATAATTTGGTTTTAATTTGAATTTACCTAAAGTCTCTTGTAGTAAACCAAGACACAAGCACACTTTTAACACATCCAAATCTCTTGACAACTGCTACATACATTTGAGTTAATTTGGTTTTTGTAATTTGGTTTGGTTTTCTTTTAAAAGTTCTGAAAGATTAACAAATTACTGGTATTGATCCAACAAAGTAATTGTGTGACAATAAGGATGCATTGATATAAATAGAGGCAAAACCAGGATCCAAAATAGGGTGCTACGAGGGAAGAATTGTACAACGAAGCATGAAGTTGTGTCTAGTATATCAGGGCTTTTAAAAAACAGAACGAGCCAAGGCCACTGCAAGCCCTAACTAAAGCTCGCCTCTATTGGAGATGTAGTACCAGTGTGTATGTAAAATGTGATAAGTAAAGATTTTGTATATTTAATATCGATTTTAATTTTTTTTACTGTGTCGTTGACACGTGGAATGAAAAATATTGTTTATTACACTCTTTACCAATTTTGCAAAATGTAATGCTAGAAAAACTAAATTTGTAGACAAAATTTACAAACTAAATGATGTGTCACCAATATGAATGAGCACATTTATCAACGCTTAAGTTACATCATCAACTTTCATATCATTTAATTTACAAAATCATGTTTACAAATTTAGTCTCATGACATTATACGTTTGCAAATTCAGCTTAAATCATATATTTACAAGGACCACTAGTTTGTCATGTTAAAAAAAATTACAATAAGAAATTGAAGGGAAAAAAAAAAGTTGGTGACTTATTTTCGTGTCATAACATAATTTAAAAAGTAAAAATAAAAAGAAAAATTAATGAAAAAGATTTAAAAATTTTGATTTTTACTGATAATAACAAAATAAAGGGTAAAGTGAATAGTACAAGAACTGATTTTTTAGTGTAAAAATATGATTTTTCGTTAAAATGAACAGTACCGAAAACTTTTCGTTAAAGTTCTTAAAATAAAAGAGGTCTTTTGTCACGTGACTGTCAACAAGACAAGGTCTTTTGTTTCACGTGAGTTGCAATAGTGCAGCAACGTCGGCAAAGACGGCGACCGACAAGCTGTGGTCAAATGGCGGTGTTGGGGGGCTCGATGGGGAGGGGCCGGGTAGGGTAATTACATTTTTCCCAAGGCATTGAAATATGAGGGACCAACTATGAGAGGGGTTGGAGCAGATGGACCCTCTTCACTTTAGCCCTTACTAACTT